TTAGGGTCCATAATTTCACTTCCGAGAAATGGTTGGCAGCAACCTTTACAATTCACCTGTGCAAGTTTCAACTTGTATTGGTGTTGTTGGGAGGGTTTCATTTGTTTCTGTCCTTGAAGATTTTAATGTTTCTTGATTTTTGTGTATGTCAAAACTTAAGTAATGAAGGCTGGACGAAACGGCTCACACCTATAATCTTAGCATTCTGGGAGCCTGAGGTGGGTGGATTGCTTGAGCTCAGGAGTTCAAGACCAGCCTGAGCAAGACTGAGACCTCATTTCTACTAAAAATAGGAAAACTAGCCAGGTGTTATAGCAGGCAGCACCTGTAGTCCCAGCTACACAGGAGGCTGAGGCAAGAGGATTACTTGAGCCTAAGAGTTTGAGGTTGCTATGAGCTATGACATTACAGCACTCTACCCAAGGCAACAGAGTGAGACTGTGTCTCAAAAAAACAAAAACAAAAAAACCTTAAGTAACAAGATATACACACAGCATAGAACTTCTGTATATTGACCATTCAAGGGACTGTAACAAACTGGTCCACATATAGAAGTGGTCAACACAAGGAACTAGGTCTACTGTACTGATACATACATGTACTTTACTTTCTGTGAAAATTAGGTCAGCTTAAGGAGGTGGTCAGAATCGAGAGGTGGTCAACTATGGAGATTCTGTGTGTGTGTGTGTGTGTGTATATATATATATTTTTCTGTCACTAGGGCTAGAATGCAGCAACATCATCATAGCTCACTGCAACCTCTTAACTTCTGGGCTCAAGTAATCCTCCTGCCTTAGCCTCTCAAGTAGCTGGCACCACAGGCATGTGCCACCACATCTAGCTAATTTTGTAGAGTTGGGGGGGGAGTCTCATTCTTGCTCAGATTGGTCCTGAACTCTTGGCCTTAAGCAGTCCTCCTTATTTGACCTTCCAAAGTGCTAGAATTATAGGCATGAGCCACCATGCCCAGCATAAATCTGTTATTTATTGAGTTATATACATACATCTTTACCCTTTTCAAGTGTACTGTTCAGTACAATTCATATATATATGTAACAAATACATATAGATGTTATATATGTATATGTAACATGTATATGTATGTATCATATACATACATACATATGTAA